CGCGTGCGCGCGTCGTTGGCTGTGCCAATTCACTGGTAGATAGCGAACCCATGCTAACATTAAAATCTAATCGGTCACCGCTCAGGGCTCACTTGAGCTTCCCGGCCAACGTGGCGATTCTTATGGTGCGGCCGATACAGAAGTGAGCACGAGCCCCCTGTGCCAATTCTTCACAGATAAAACCCACCCTAACTTCAACATCCGATCGGTCACCGCTAAGGGCTCACTTGAGCTTCCAGTCCAACATTGCGACTGTTCTAGTGCGGCCAGTACAGAATTGAGCGCTCGCCACGCGCGCGCGTCGTTGGCTGCCGCTAAAGTCTCACTTGAGTCTCCAGACCAACGTGGCGCCTGTATTGCTGTCGATGCAGAACTGAGCTCGCGCCACGCGCGCGCGTCATTTGATGTGCCAATCCAGTGATAAGTGGTGGGCGCATGTTCATTTCGAAATTCAACCGGTCAGCGCTACGGGCTCACTTGATTTTCCATGCCAAAATGGCGACTGCTCTTTTGCGGTGAATACAGAACTGAGCACGCGCCACGCGCGCGCACGCCGCTGGCGGCGCAAATTCACTGGTAAGTGACAAACGCAGGTTAACTTCAAAATCCAATCGGCCACCGCTAAAGGCTCACGTGAGTTTCCTGGACAACATGGCGACTATTCTGTTGCGGTCAATACAGAACTGACACCTTGTCAAGCGCGCGTACGCGCGCCGTTGGTTGTGCCAAGGCACTGATAGTTTGTGCGCCCAGGTTCGCTTCAAAATCCAATCGGTCACCGCTAAGGGCCCACTTGAGGTTCCAGGCCCAAATGGCCACTGTTCTATTGCGGCCAATACAAGAACCGATCACGCGCCACGCGCGCGCGCGTACGCGCGTCGTTGGCTGTGCCAATTCACTGATGGGTGGTGAACCCATGTTCACTTCAAAATCAAATCGGTCCCCGCTAAGGGCTCACTTGAGTCTCCAGGCCAACATTGCCACGGTTCTTTGACGAACCACAGAACTGAGCACGCGCGTGCGCGCACGCGTCGTTGGCTGTGCCCATTCACTGACACGCGGTGGAGCCATGTTAACCAATCGGCTACCGCTAAGGGCTCACTTCAGCCTCCTGGCCACATGGTGACTGTTCTATTGCGCTCAATGCAGAACTGAGCACGCGACGCGCGCGTCGTTGGCTGTGCTAAGTCGCTGATAAGCGGTGAACCAATGTCAACCTCGAAATCCAATCGGTCACCGCTAAGGGCTCACTTGCGTTTCCAGGCCAACATGGCGACTGTTCTACTGCGGTCAAGCCAGAACTGATCACGCGCACCGCGCGCGTGCGCGCGCGTACTCGCGTCGCTGGCTGTGCCAATTCACTGATCGGTGGCGAATCCATGTGAACTTCACAACCCAAACGGTCACCGCCAAGGGCTGGCTTGATTTTCCAGGCCATCATGGCAAGTGTTCTACTGCGGCCAATACAAAACTAAGCACGCGCCACGCGCGCACGCGTCGTTGGCTGTGCCAATGCACAGATAGGTGGTGAACCCATCATCACTTCAAAATCCAATCGGTCACCGCTGAGGGCTCATTTGAATTTCCAGGCCTACATGGCGAGTGGTCCATTGCGGTCAATACAGCTGAGCACGCGCGCGCACACGCGCGTCGTTGGTTATGCCAATTCGCTCATAGGTGGTGAACCACTGTTAAGTTCAACATCCAATCGGTCACCGCTCAGGGCTCACTTGAGTCTCCAGGCCAGCATGGCGACTGTTCAAGCGCGGTCAACACAGTAGTGAGCACGCGCCACGCGCGCGCGTATGCGCGTCGGTTGGTGCGCCATCCGCTGATTGGAAACGGCTCCAAGAGAGCGCCCAGGAATGAATCCTCCAGGATGGAAGGTTCGAGGAATCCTCCACAAACCAACAGAATCCGTCGGGGCCCCTGGGATTCCTGGGGGGCCCCGGGCAACGCAAAGGGGCGTGCTTCAAATTTGGGGGCACGGCCGCAATTTGAAATTATTTGTCTTCGGGCGGCTGCGGCGGAGGCTGGAGGGGTGGAAGGTCGGAGTTTACTTTGAACGAGATTCCCAATAATATTTGCGAAACACATTCGAACGAACCGGGTCAACTTACGGGAGCGCCCAGTCATGTCCAACCCTCGCCCTCCTCGTCCTCCTCGTCCTCCTCGCCCTCGTCGTCGCCCTCCCCCTCCTCCTCCCAGGATGACCGAAATCGAATTAAAATCGGCCCCCGGGCCCTTCCCAGGGTCCCTCCGAAGCAGTTTTTCACCATGGATCGATTTTCGACGATCCCGGGGCCCGAAAGCGGCTTCCAGAGGCGTAAAACGACAAAAAGCTCGTCGAACTTCGATCCTCGAGATTCGAACCTCCCCTTCCGTTCCCGGCGCCGAAGACGCCCAAATCTTACGAAGACGCCCGCGCGGAAGCGGCGCGTGGGCTGAGCTCGGGGGGGCCGCGCTCACGCCCACCGCCTGAAACCCGTGGAGTTGGGCTGCCGCCGCTGTGGCGGACGAGATGGCCGCGTCTCCGATGACGCCAGCTATTTTCGTCGACCCCTGAGGTTCGAAGTTCGAGGCGGGCTTCCGGCGTCGTAGCCTGCGGGAGCCACTTTCGGGACCCAGGGCCGTCAGAAATCGATCGGGACCGACAAACTGCGTCCCGGGGGTGCCGGAGTCATCCCGAACGGCCACCGACGTCCAGGTTCGAGCCTCAAGCCTCGAGGATCGAGATCCTCTGGCCCCTGGCGGCTCTCCTCGTCGCGGCCGGACGCGGCGCGGAAAACTTGTGCGCTCGGGCCCCGGGAGGGTTCCGGGGGCCCATTTCAATCGGGTTCTGGCCGACGGGGGCGGACGACGACGACGACGACGACGACGACGACCTTGACGACGACGACGACGACGACGACGCGGCAGCAGTCAGCGCAACTTCCCGGCAACAAGCGCGTAGGGGCACTCGCGCTTGGCATTTTCGGCGGGGGAAGATGGGGGCGGACAGCGCGATGGACCCCCCAGCTCGCTCAGCCTACCACGCGACGAAAGCATGCGGTACACGCGCAGGGGCAAACATTTCGTGAGCAGCCGTCGGGGCAAGCATTCGGTCAACGGCCCTTGCGTTATGCATGTCAACCCTACGCGGGGGAAGGAGGAGAGGAAGGGGGGGGGGGGAGAAGGGGGGGGAAGAGGAAAACGAGGGACTTGATGTGCAAATGGCACCCTCGAGCGACAACTGTCGGCATCGCACGGAATGGTGACAAAAATTGGATCGAAGCTCATCTTGCCGAGACAGGGTATGCAGGGCAGAGAAAGGGAGGGAGGGGTGGAACACGTGGCACTCAGAGCGGGGTTCAAAGGCGCGGCCTCGAAAATCTGCAATGGCCCTGGAGCCGGACTCGCGCTGGGCAAACATGTCTTCAGAAACACTGCGCAAACAGGTCGTCATAAACAGTGGACACGAATATGTGGTGCAAGCTATCGCGTCTCCGTTAAACCCCTCGTGAAAACGGGGCGCCAGGCAGAAATTCCCCGCGAGCTTCCCGGAAGCATGCGATATCGAATGGGCCGGCACACCCTATCAGCAGCAACCAGCAATCAACTTGAGGGTAGCATCCGCGCGGCGGCGGGCGGTGAAAACAGGGCGCAGCACGACTGTGAAGCAGAACGGCGAGGCGCCCCGCGATCGCGAAGCAGAAGAAGGAAACGCTCCACGACTACGGAGTAGAATAACGAATCAAGCAGAGAACGAGGCAGGGAGGAAAAGCCCGCCCCAGGGGGGTAGGGGAGGGGAATCAAACCTCGAAGCTCTATTCAGCACGCGCACTGACGAAGCGCACTGGAAGCGCACTCGTTTGAATCAGCGCCAAGAAGGGGGACAAGCAAGAAGAGGATGTAGGGGAGGAGGACGAGGGGGTGGCCTGGAGAAGGGGAGGGGAGGGAGGAGGAGGAGGAGGAAGAGGAGGATGATGATGGTTTTGAGAATGACGATTGAGAAGAGCTTGGAGTGGGTGAACGAGGAGAGCAGGAGGCGGGGTGGATCCTGGACAAGGAGCGCTACGAAATCCGTGCGTCCCACGAAGCAGGGATCAATGGGAAAAGCAAAAATCACAGATCCCGGCAAGAGACTAAAACAAACATTCTTGAGAGGCCGTCCCAGGAATTCACACTTTTTGCCTCGCTCGACCCTGGAGGTGCTTGGCCGCAGCACGGGGGCAGTGCGGCGGCAGGGGCTTGCGGCACTACGCTTTGGGGCGCAGGGGTTCTGCAGGACCTCCTAAAGGAGGGGCGGTGGTGCGAACGGCAACCACCACTGAGCAGCCCATCGCGAGGCTACCCCCTGCCCCCATCCGGCTTCTATCGTTAGGCCGGACCTCGGAAAAAAAACGGCGGTGCCCCCGGGCACCCAGCGGCGGCAAGCGAAGAGGAAGCTTGGCGAGAGTCAGTACGCAAGAGGGGGGAGGAAGGAGGGGGAGGGACATGAGGGCAGTTCTACGTGCTCAGGCGCGCGCCCTGGGCCTGGTTGCCCTCGCAGACTTTGCCGGTTGCGCTGTTCAATGCTCCGCTTCTGCATGTTGCGTCGGTGGTGGTGGGGCGGTGGTGGGAGCCTCAAAGTGCTATGGCATGACAACTGCTGCATGCTTCACTGCTGATGCTACCTGCTCCTCCCTCCACGGCGGTCTTCGGCTAAGTGTGAATCACCGGGCCCCCTGCTCACACAAAAAGGCCCTATCATGTCACACTTTTTGCCTCGCTCGACCCTGGAGGTGCTTGGCCGCAGCACGGGGGCAGTGCGGCGGCAGGGGCTTGCGGCACTACGCTTTGGGGCGCAGGGGTTCTGCAGGACCTCCTAAAGGAGGGGCGGTGGTGCGAACGGCAACCACCACTGAGCAGCCCATCGCGAGGCTACCCCCTGCCCCCATCCGTCGCCCCCAATTCCGACTTCCAGTCGCCGGAAGCCCCTGTGCCGCTGTACCTCTGGTCACGCCTGCAGAACCGCGCGCCTTCCAAGGTCGGCGGCCTGCTGCACCAGCGATTCTGTTGCATTGCGGGACCAGGCGCCCATTTCTGCAGCAGCTGTCTCAATGTACACGCGCGCTGTCCGCGTGCTGCCAACGCCCCACCACCATGACTCGGTCGAGGGATCCCGACAGCAACCACAACCATGTAGCACCACCTCTCCGGAGCCCGTAGGGCGTAACTGTGTCCCCACTGATGCCGAAGAACTGCGCCAGCCATTTGTACTCGTGCGCGAAATGGCTTGGTGGTTTGGTGTAGAGAGGCTGGGTGTGAGACCGGCCTGCAGATGCCGCCTGCAGGGCTTTGATGGCGACTGCGTCGTGGATGATGACGTGCTCGACGTTGCCGCCTTTTCTTTTGGCTGTTTTGGTGCCGTACAGCATAATTAGAACCTTGCGGCCATCTGGGCTGACGTGAAGTTGTCCTGCTTTGAGTCCCACTATTTCGGCTGTTCGCAACAAGCCGAGGAATCCTGCAAGGAGGAGCGCGGGGGAGCTCCCAGGATGGCCGGGGGGAGCGGGAAAGCTCGCTTACGGTGTAGGACCGACCCCCAATTGTGCAGATATTGCCGCGCTGTTGGTATGGCCGCGCGGGCCCCCGGGTAGAAGCGTGACAGCCCGCATATGGTGTCGCTGGCGTATCCGTGCGAATCACCTTCCTGCCACATGTGGCTTATGTACTCAGCGAGAGTAGAATCCAATTCAAACAACGATTGCGGAATGCGTATATTGTATGTCCGAAGGTAATAGAAAAATGATATCAGTGCTTTCGTGTATCGCTCTCTTGTCTTTGCTGTGATGCCTACTTCCCTCAGGTGTCGTTTTACCCCTGGTCGGGGCTTCTGGCGGCTAGCCTTCCCCATCGCCTGCGCGAAGGCGGCTCGCGGCGCCCGCGAACTGCCATTCTGATATGGTCCAGACACCGAAGGAGTAGGCATCCATTGCGAGTTCCAACGCCATGAGTTCCCGCCGCGGTCTGTTGAGGCGCCGGCTGGAACTGCGGCCTTTTGCGACTACAGCCGCGGCCACTTGGCTGTCAAAGACGTTGATGAATCGCAACGAGTGGTAACAACGAGAGCGAGACTTCTTTCGGACATAGTTTAAATACGCAATTAATTCCAACACGTTGATATGTTGTTTCGCTTTCCACCGGTACGACATGACAACGTGCCATTTCCAGGCGAATGCCGGGTAGGGCACAGTTTGCCGCAAATCGGCAACTTCGCTGGTGGACATCCACACATGAGCGCCTTTAGTGTCCGCCCACGAAAGCATGGACCGGAGGTGGGCTTGCTCCCCTCCAGGGACCATGCGTTGCAGGAGTCGCACGATCTCCTGGGCCGCTGGCGCTAAAGCGCCCTGGGTGCCTCCCCGGCGGGCGCGCGCCAGCTGGGTTTCTACCCGCGCTGGCTGGTCCGAGGGCGCTGCTGGCACGCCTTGTTGCCCGAGCTCGCGCAGTGCTCGGGCAACGGCGCGGGAGTATGCTGCACAGAACTGTTCCTGCGTGCACGCAGAGGCGCCTCGCTGGGCGACCGTCTCTTCTGCCGAGAACGTTTGTTCAAGCAGGCGGCAGTTGTGTAGCAAACACAGATCCGTGTCGCCCGCGGCGGGCGCGACGCCCGTCACGGTGACCCTGGTGCACAATACACCCTTGTAGCGGAGGAGGGACTGCACCCCTTCGCTCTGCCACAGCGGGCTATCCCAAGGGTGTTGCACGACAGCGAAGCCCCAGTGCAGCACACGCCACAATAGCCTTTGGACTGCCAGCTGTCCGTGTGCGTCGGCGTCCACCACACTTCGGCCGCCTAGCCCTGCCGCGCGCCGGTGGCGCGGGCCGGCGGCGTGTGCCAGGCGGCGCGCGCCCGCGTGCGAGCCCCCAGGCACTGTCCAGTGCTCCCACGCCGTGAACTCATCATCGGTCTCCAGGCGCACATGCTTTTGGCCGGACTCTGACAGCACTTGGGAGCCTGGCGGGCGGGATGGGTCAAGGGGAAGGCACACTTCGACCCCTGCGCGAGCAACGGCCCAAGACAGGCGGGCCTCTGGGCCTGACCCGCTTTCAAAAAAGCCGGGCAAACGCACGCCTGCGAGCGAACATCCTTGACGCCGATGCTGCAGCAGGCAGTCCACGCAGCGCGTCGCGGCACCGCACTGGGCGGGGCAGACGGCCCCGCCTGCCCCGCGCGCGTCGGGGCGGACCTGGACCGCACACGCTGCGCACGTCTGCGGCCGCGCCGGGGCGAAGGCCGAGTCCTCAGCCAGTTTGGCAAAATGTGCCTCCAGGCGCGCTCCCCGTTGTGGGTCCACAGCGTGTGTGAATTGAGCTGCTTCCGCGGCCCCGCCGCCGTCCTCGGAGGCGTCTGTGCACGAAATGGTGCGCTTAACAGGCGCCCGGAGATTCGTGTACGCGAGAGGGAGCAGACAAGCGAAGGCGATCATTTCGTCTATTACCGCTGCGTCTGCTGGCGCAGGCGCGTCCAGGGCGGTCTGGATAGCGGGGAAGATTTGCTCGAGGACAGCGAAGAGGGGCCGGCGGAAGCCAGCGGCGAAACATGCCTGACCCGCCCAATGCTGGAGGGCGCCGGCCTGCCATTGCTGCTCCGTTGCCAGCACCGCGGTTTTGACCACCAGGGCGTTGGCCTTCTCTGGCGCCAACTTCAACCACCCCTTGTCTCCCAGAAGCAGGCCCCCCAGGATGCCTGCGCGCAACTGCGCCACTAGGGATTTGGCCGGGTTCAGGGGGATTCCGTGTTTGGCGCACGCAGCGACGAAATGCTGATGCTCCATGGACTCCACGATTTGCAACTTGCACAGGCGAGATTGCGCTTTCCGAACAAAGTCGAATCCGTCGAGGCACACGATGCTGACGTCACCGTCTGGGAACGCTCTGTCCCGCCGTAGTTCAGTGCGGGGGTCGGCGCCAACGATGTCGAAGACGAGCGTGCGGATGACTCGTTGCATGATGGAAACCGCAATCTTTGAACCCATGGCTACACTACGAATACCGACCCAAGCCATGCGGTTGGGGTCGTCACCGAAAGCCGCGGCAGATACTTGCTTAGAGTACGTACAATATCCTAGCCATTCGTCCGGGAGGCGGAAGATATTGAAGCATCCTTTTTGGTCCTCGGCATCGTCCCAGAGCTCCTCGCCGTCTTCGAGAATGCACGCATTGAGCATGGTGGCCGTGGGCAGGGTGTGGTCGCCCCCCCGCAGCTTGCGCATGTAGGAGTTAATCGGCGTGAAGATCGATATGAAACGCAAGAGGGTGGGGCCAGGAACTGGCCCTTTGGGGTGCTTGTCAATCCCCATTGCGCCGTTGACGACTGGCCGGCCTGCGGAATCTCGGAAAACGAGCTCGTCCGGGACTTCTGCGAAGATGCCTCGGGCAGCCCCTTCTTTGACAATCTTGTACCATTCTGTGTCGGACGCCTAAACGCGCGACCTCGGGGGTTCCTCCGGCCATTGCTCCGGAGGGAGCAGGCGCGATCTGGGGTCACGCACGTCGTCCAGCAGCTCTCCATCGAGGAACGACACCACGGGGACAGATGCAGCCTCGCCGCGCTCCGGCCAAGCAGGGAAAACTTTTTCGGCGACGAGCTCCCTCCGGACCGCCACGGCTTCTCCCGCGTAGTCCGTCCGGCGGGCGAAGAGGTCATGCTCGATGGCCGTTATGGACGGCAAGGGGCTTTCGCGGGACAAGAAATCCACTGCAGCTTCCCACAAGTGCTGGACGGAATGTCTTTGGGTGCTGGACAAATGGCCGGCACTGGCGCCAGGCTGGTCGTCGGGGCCCTCTGGGGCCCCGGCCCACGCGCCCGTTCCGAAGAAGTTGAGGGACGTGACCATGCACCATACTGCCGCACGGCAGCGCGATGCGAACTTCGCGGCGTGTCCTGCTGCTACAGACAGGATCTCTGCGTGCTGCCGCGCAGCTGTGGCCGGAATCGGCAGAAGATCGCCGCGGGGCTGGGTGCCCGAGGGCTGCGTGCCCGAGGGGTGCTTGGGCTGCGTGCCCGACGATTGGTGGTCTAGAGGCTGAGTGCCCGAAGGAGGGTCGAGCGAGGCGACTCGTCCGAGCTTTGTTGGTAGGTGCGGCATTGAATCTTCAAACAGTTCCCACACTTCACTGTTGCCGTCGAGATGGTGGAGCTCGTCTCGGGTCGGGCGAAAGGGGGGGATAGCAAAGGGGGGGTTTGAGAATCAGCTCACGTAGCTGATTTTCCCGGCGCCTCCCGGCGCCGGAGGCGGCCATGTATCGAGGAATGGGCCCCTCGGTGAGGCCGAAACCAGCTGCATGCAGCAAATTTCGTAACCCCCCCTTTCCCAATCCCCCCCTTTCGCCCTGCCCGATCGTCCAGCAGCGTGCTCTGCCACGCAGACAACGGCGCGCCACTGCGCGCCGAGCAGGCGGTGGCGACGGCGGTTCGCACGGCCTTTTTGGCTTGGCTTTGACCGCGTCGAAGCAAAGGGGAAGGGGGAGGATCGGGTCGGGCGAAAGGGGGGCGATAGCAAAGGGGGGGGTTGAGAATCAGCTCACGGAGCTGATTTTCCAGGCGCCTCCCGGCGCCGGGAGGCGCCCATGTATCGAGGAACGGGCCCCCCGGCGGGGCCGAAACCAGCTGCACGCAGCAGATTACGTACCCCCCCCTTTCCCAACCCCCCCCTTTCGCCTGGCCCGAGAGGAGAGAGACGGGGAGGAGGGGCAGAGTGGAGGGAGGGGGCAGTGCGCTCGACAGTAACGCCTTCAGCGCTTGTCTGAATTCCAGTTCCTTTGCATGCCGGGGCATCAGCTTGGCCCGGGGGGCCCTTGGCACGCCTTCGCCGTGGCACGGCCCAACACCCGGAATCGACATCCAGGGCGGGCCGGGGCGGGGCCAGCGCGTGGCTCGCTACCACCACTTCCCCTTCGCTTTGGAGCTCCCCTTCGCTGAGGCCTTGCCGGAGTGCGCGGGGCCTTTCCCCTGAAAAGGGTTGCCCTTGCCAGCGTTCTGGCTCTCCTCCAGGCTGACCTCCCTGTGGCCGCTCCTTTGGCTGCCTTTGCCCTGGCCCCCTTGGGGCCGAAGCGCCAGCTGCTGCTGCGCCTTCGTCTCGCTGCGCATCATGTACTTCTCCTTCCTGCTGACGAGCGTGGCCGAGTCGTCCTTGACGAGTTCGAGGAAGCACGCGCGCTCCCACGACTGGTCCACCACCGACTGCTCGACGGCTTTCAGGTGCTGGACTATGAAATCCATTGCCTTGTCTGCTTTGTTCTGGACGAGGAGATCCAGGAGCTTGCACATGAGGGCCATGTCGTTGCGGTTGCGCTTGGACAGGTTGTACTTCACCTCGAGCACCCTGAGAAAGTAGGCCGACGCCGCTGCCGGAGGCTCCTTCTTGTGGTCGTCGCTGTCGCTGTTGGCCTCTCCCCCAGGAGTCACCCTCTGCGCCATGGTCCACATGGCGCTCCTGGACAGTCTCCCCGGGTGCTTGCGCGCGAAGCGCATAAGACGTTCCTGCGTGGACTTCTGTCGAACGCCTTCTGAGGTCGAGGCCACGTGAAAACCCATCTCGCACGAGTCGCTGCAGCTTGACTCGCTCCTGGGTTTACGCCGGCGGGGGCTGCGCGACCCCCGCGGGGCCCGCCTGCGGCGCGACCTGCTGCGGGGCGACGGGCCGCGGGGCTCCCTGTCCCGGTCGCCCGGCGAACCCCGTCGGCCCGAGGGAGCCGCGTCGGCGTCCTCCCGGGCTCGCGGTCGCCCGTCCCGCGGGGCGGGGGCCGCCTCACGGCGGCCCTGCGGCGCTCCGCCAGCGTCGTCGCGCTCGGCCGGCGAGCGCCCCCCCCGCGCCGCGGGGGCCGCGTCGCGGCGGCCCCGCGGCCCCCCGCCAGCGTCGTCCTCGGCCTGCCTGCGCCCGCCCCGGGGCGCGGCGACCGCCTCACGGCGGCCGCGTGAACGGCTCGGGGGGCGCCGGTCGGCCCTCTGCTCCACCCGTTCCCCCCTGCCGCGGTCGCGGCCCTCGCCGGCCTCCAGCCGCGAGCGCAAGTCAGAGAGGCCTTCTCTGACGCTGCCGTGTCGGCGGTCGTCGTAGTCCCCCCTCCCTGTGGTCCATCACGTACAAAAAACTGTCCGTTACGGACAGTTTTTGTACGTGATATTTTACGTGCAGTTATGGGTTCCAAGATGTACGTTGAAGTTGTGGCTGTTGGAGCGCGCAGACGCTTTATGAGTGTATCGTTCGGGTTTTCCGCGCTCAGTGCCGTTGAGCACTCGCCCCAGGCGTTACCCAACAAATGGTTTGAGCCAAAATGGCGACGGAGGAAGAGGATAAGGAAGAGGAGGCAGCGGCGGCGGAGGAGGAGGAGGAGGAGGAGGAGGAGGAAGGAGGAGGAGGGGGAGGGGGAGGAATGCCCCCCCCGCTCCTCCTCCTCCCCCTGCCCCGCGGCCGCGGGTGGCGCCTTGACCTTGACGTCCAAGCGGGCGGCCGCGCGCTCGCCGCTCGCCCGCTCCTCTTCCTCTTCTCCCTCCTTTTATCCGCAACATGTTCCATTGTTGTTTCTCATCCTCAAAGCCCCTCTCCTCCTCCCCCTCCTCCCCTCATCCGCTTCCCTTTCCTCCTCATCCTCCTCCTGCTCCTCCTCCCCCTGGCCACCCCTCCCTCCTCCCCCTCTTCCTTCTCCTCCGCCTCCCCCTCCTCATCCTTCCCCGCCCCCCTCCCCCCTCCCCCCCTCCTCTTCCCCCATCCTCCTCCTCCCCGTCCTCCTCCTCCTCCGCCTGTTCCCCCTGTTCGCCCAGCCCCTCCTCCACCTGCTCCTCCTGCTTATGCTGCTCCTCCTGCTCCTTCGGCCCCTCTTGGTCCTTTCTCGGATTTCGGCTCGATCGATTGCCCTGGTTTCTCTGATTTCGTTTTCACTGGTTGTCTTGCTTCATCGGATCTCGACGTCGCTGGTTTTCCTGGTTCCTCGGATCTCGACTTTGCTGGTTCCCCTGGTTCCTCGATCTCGACTCTGCTGGTTTTCCTGTTCCTCGGATCTCGACTTTGCTGGTTTCCTATTTCCTCGGATCTCGACTTTGCTGATTTGCACGGTTACTCGGAAGGGGGAGGAGGCTGATGGGGGAGGAAGAGACGGTGGGGATCTGTTTACATGTGTGCTAATTTGTCCGACACCTCTTCCCACGCAAATAGCAAATTGTTGTTATGCGTGTTTTGCGTGATGTTTGTGGGGTTACTTTTTACACAAGGAAAGGCATCGACAGTAACACGCACTCCTCGAACGTCACCTGGGACTGCTCGCGACATGCACCTTTCAAAACTCTATTGAGCCCCTCGTCTGTCCAATTTGCGTAGAACCGTGGGTTCCCCAAGAACGCAGCCCGCTGAAGCATGTGCCACAGGATGTGGCGCTTTGGCGTAAGCAATCGCTCACAATGACGGGTGAGAGAACAAAACCGTTTCCAGTGTTCCAAGCACTCATCTATGTCGGAGTCACAGAATTTCCAGCCGATATTATCCATGCGGTAGCACAGTTTGATCATGCATTCCGCGGCCTCGAAAAGTCGAACCGATTCGCGCTGCAAGCGGCCTTGAATCTTCCAACGACGGTTGAACATGTGGACTAGAAATAACAGGAAGCCCCATGTTTCAGCGCCTTTCGTCCTCAACTTCCTGTCTGAATTTGTGCCAAACAACTTGGCACTCATGGCGTGGATTTCCGTCAGAGTCGAATTCAAACCTGTTTCTTTCCATTCGGTGTAGAACCCATGAAGTTCGTGCTTCATAGCAATGGCAGCGACCTCGAGATTGTGCTCCACTGTCCCTGCCGTGCCCCACAGGCCAGCGTCAATCGTTGCCCACGCGAGCTCCCTACACAGATCCTTCATGCAGCCGAGGTATAGCGCGTGAAGCGAATCGATGCAAGTATGCGTGCACGGGTCGACGCCAAATTCGATATCATATATTGGGTTTCTATGCCGAGCAATTGTTTCAGCAGACGGTCTCCAAATAAGAATTGGGCATGGAAACTGCGTGATTCTGAATATTGCTGACACATCTGGCATCCACTTTGTTGGCTCCACCCTGTCCCCCTGCTGGAGACCGAGGGCGGGCAAAGCAACCTTAAGGGCTAGACCCTTTGACGAACTGCTTCCAGATCTTTTGTCGTAGAACAACACGTCGCACAGGGCCTTGTGTGTGTCATGCGACAGAACAACAACATGCTCGCACATCTGACAGGCCCAATCGTAATCACCGACAACGTTCTCTCTGAAAGGAGACCCAGTTAAACTCCAGCCAACATCGAGATACAAGTTGTCGCCAAACCCATTGCATTGGAAGCACGGCCTCAAACTGTCGCCCCATGAGGGCCACCCAAACGTCGTTGATAATTCAGCCCAGTCGGCCTTGTTATAGATGAGCACACCTCTTGCGCGCATCAATTTGCCAGCCAACATCTTCCTGTATGAATCGTCATCTTGAAATTCCGATCCGTCGTGGCGCTCAAGTGGGAAGGACCCTTTACACAAGCTGCGTAGGCTCCATGCTATGAAAGAAAAAATATTGAAATATGTGCACCAGCCCCTGCAGCCGCAATGACACGCAAACTTCTTGCGTACTAACGCGAATAACACTCGAGATTGCGTGACCATGTTCACTAACCAAAAACCGACTGCTGTGTCGGTTTGGCTGTACGGGACACCATCAGTGAACAACCCCAGCGGTATGATTGGCGAGTCTGGCCCCAGATGTTCTTGGACAACTGGGTTCTCGAAGAAACACGGTGGCATTTCCATCGAGTCGATCGCATCTTGAACGTCAGCAATGATACTTGGGTCATCTTCCAAACTCTCTGCAACCAGCTCGTGTGGCACCAT